CTGGTCTTGAACTCCTGAGCTCAAGCAATCTACTGCCTAAGCTTCCCAGAGTGCTAGGATTACAGACATGAGCCATCATGCCTGGCCAGTACTTATTCTTAAAATCTTCAAGATAAGTTTATCATTATACACATTTTGCAGGTGAGGTACTGAGGCACTGAAAATGGGGGCATATGCCTAAAGTTATAGCTAGAACCAGGAATCTTGGTAAATCCCTGTCAGCAAAATTCACTGTAGCCCAAGTAAAGGAGGTTAGTGAAAGGAAAGTGGAAGGATCTCTGGCCAAGATAGCACCTTTCTTCATTTTTCTCCCATTTCTGTTTCTGAAGATCTGCTCCAGTTTCCTGCTTTTCTCTGCAGACAGGCTTTCTCTGCTCACTCACCAGTAAGCACATTACTAAAATAGGCTGCTTCAGCACAAACTCTAAATAGTTATTTACCTCAAACTTCCACCATAAATTATTTCTATATTCTTAGTTTAAATTATTGAGAGAAAATCTGCTTGGTGCCTCTTCAGCTGGGGTAGGCAGAAAAAATGTCCCTCTACCTCTCCCCAACCCACAAAGAAAATTACATCCAAATCTCTGGAATCTGTGAATGTTACATTGTAGGGAAACATAGTATTTGCAGATGTGATCAATGAAGATTTTAAGATCGGGACATAACCTTATATTATCAGAGTGGGCCCTAAATGCAATCACATACATCCTTGTAAGAGGGAAGCAAAGAGAGACTTGGCACAAACAAAAGAGAAGAAGATGATGTGAAGATGAAAGCAGAGGCTGGAGTGATGTAGCTACAAGCCAAGGAATGCTTGCAGCCCCCAGCAGCTGGAAGAGATAAGGCTAAAAAAATTCTTCCCTAGAGCTAAAACCTCTGAGGAGAGCAGAGCTCTGGCAATCCTTTACTTCTAGTCCAGATTTCTGGCATGCAGAATTGTAAGAGAATTTCTATTATTTTAAGCCAGCAAATCTGTGTTAATTTGTCAGAGCAGCCACAAGAAACTAATACAGTGGCCAATGGATTCATTCCTCTTGCAGTAAGCATTCATCCAGTGTCCAGTCAGCTGTTTCCTAGAGTATGTTTACAAGGAAAAATGCTGAGGTCTGCCCTCTTAGCAGTGGCAATTGGATAGCAATAGACTGCCAATTCTCAGGTTGGAGGCAAGAGTTAGGCGAAATCTGCATGCATTGATATCACATAGGTTATAGAGGAAGTGCTGGGAAGCACAGGGTAGCAGTCATACAAATATGTCCCAAACCTAGAGCTCCCCTCCTCCTATCAAAATCAGAAATGAGTTAATAAACAGCACTGTTAATAAGAAGTGGGAGGAAAAACAGGCAAGGTTAGAAGGTGAATCTATTTGTTCAGCTAATTTAAAAAAGTGTTTCTTTAACAACCTTCTTTCACCTTAGCATAGGTACCAACCTATAGTCTAGGGAAGGATAAAACTTGCATATCCTGGACAGTTGGGAAAGAACAAAAAGAATTTTTTTTAAATTCTTTTAAAGTATCACTTTATCACTCTCGGTAGATTGATATGGCATCTCAGCTCACAGCAACCTC